AAAATAAAAAATACTTAAATCAAACCTTTATATTAAATATGTTCATGGTATAAATTATTATTATATATGTAATTTATTCAACAATTTTAGTAAATCACTGTCCTTTCAAAACATCACTTCGGTAAAATACGTCGGATGAAATTAATATATGTCAGTCATTTTTCTAAACTATTTATTTTGAAAGTGGCTTCAGTCACTTTACCGTAATGAAAAGTGGTGATTTTTTAATGTTTATACGAAATTATTTATACTGAGAAAAATATCAGTATCCTGAGATAACAAATACAAGTAAATCTTCTCGAAAGTTAGCATCCATATTTTGAAACGTGTTAAAACGCAAGCCCTTAAATATATCGACTTAAAAACAAAGTGACTTATGTCACTTTCAAAATAAACGGCTCAAATACGCGAAGAACTTGCTTGAAAATACGCTCTAATGTCTGGCCATTTAAGTTGCATGCTAATTAGAAGGCGGTGAAACTTTTTGCAGTGCCTGGCAACAGAAAATAGTCGAACTTTCGCTGGATCAAAATGTATGGATTAATAGGGCAATAATGTTTGAGATATAGATTTATCTTCTGTTAGTATATTGTTTGGTGGAAACAAAAGGACAACGCGAAATCTGGTAAATAAAGGTAGAAGGTCGATTTGTGTTCTTTAGATTTTCTAATATTCTGATGGAAGTTCGTTTTTGATTCCAGAGGATGAAAAGAAACACTAGATGTTTGTTCATTTGATGCTCATTCAGATGCTCATTTGTTGACATTAATTATGTGTTTGCGATTGAAACTGAATAGTTATTCTGATTCGATGATCGGATATTATTGGAGATGATTACTTAGAAACGCGAACAATTTGACGATCAGCCTGAAAAAATTGCGAGACGATTAATTCCCGACGAAGAAGGAAAGTTCCTGGTTACGAAATTGAATTTTGTAACATTGTGGAAGTAGAACCGGAATCGAAGCAGGCGTAACGGGCGCAACAATAGTTCCGCTTAGAGCATTGCAAGTTTCGTTAACGTGCAATCTGCGTTCGGTTCGATTCGTGTAATCACGTGTCCCGTGACGTATTTTCCCCGGGCATGGCTCTCGACACGATAAACGTGGGGAAATTGTAATCGACAGGAAACTGTTGCTTCAGGGTAGCACACTTCCACTTTACGATGAAGAGAAAATTACAGAAGCACAAGGTTCGACGACTTGCCGAGAGTATGATCGCGATTTGTAACTTGGAAATCGAAAAGATCAGCAGCTCACATGGTTATTTAGAAATGTATGGCTGAGCTTGCAAAGCTTACGGCTCCAGAGTTTACAAAGCAGAACGCAAAAAGATTCGAAAAGCTCGACGATTTGAGCTTAATTTGGAAGCTTAATATGCCAAGAGACTAATTGTAAACGGTTTAATAAATTGAACTGGAATAAATCAGGAACTGGAAAATTTGTCCACGTTGGGATCTACTTCAACGAGAAAGGGGATGTTTTAACAAAAAAATGCCACTGAACTGTATAAAATATATTATATATTACATATAATATATATTACAAAATATTATATAATATTGTATTATATAATATAATATTACTTACTATAATATTATTACTATTATTATTATTATTATTACTATTGTATATATAATAATAATATATAGTATAATATATAATATATTTTATAATATATGTATATAATATAATACAATAATACTGTATTATATATTGTATATGTAATAGTAATTTTTTAACAATACAGCCCGTAAGGCGTTCATAGGTTAATAAATAAACAAAAAGCTGGAGAATTTGGTAAACTGAAATTTTCGAGAATTTACAATTTCAGTTTTTCGAAGCTTGTAACTTTACAGATCTAAAAACTCGAAGAATTCGTAAGCCTGATCAATTTTCGATTTAAGAACATTGTCGGGTGGTTCACACACTTGCAAGCTCGGATCTTTCGAGAGCTCAAAAGTTTCGAATTTTATGGAGCTCGGAAGTTCAAGGTGTATAAATAACCTTGCAGAAAACCAGGAATAAATAGTTTCCAACGAGCTCTGATTTTCTTTATTTGGCTTCCGAGCGGAGATCGCTGGCCAAAAGAAACATCGAAGAAGCTGAAACATCGCCCGACCTCTCCCGTTCACACCAATTTCCGCAATCTAGCAGGCTCTCGGCAGGGAATCATCAGCACAGATTGCAAAGCGCTTCGGTTGATTAGAGGCTAATTTCGATGCTTGAATCGAGACTTTCGCGGAAATCGACAGCATTCGCGTCGACCGAATCGCGACCGAACGAACGGTGGCCCCTCCCCGACGACTGCGTTCTCTTCTTTTTTTCGCTATTGCAACCGTTTCCTTCGGTGCCGCTTCTTTTCAAACACCCGTTCGATCGAGGGGTCAGGTTCTCATCGGCGGAATCGCATTTTGCATCGGCGAGAAATCGCGGAACTTACCGGTCTTCTGCGGCCTGGCCCCGCCCGAGCCACAAAGCAGCAGGACCACCACAATCTTCACCAGATTCTTCCGCATTTTGGCACTGTAACAGAAAATTAAAGCACTCTTGAAGCTGCATCTCCATCTTCGACTGCTTAACGCATCGACGGCCGCGCCGAAAACGTCTCAAAATTTCATAGAATTAAAGTATCTTAAACGATTAGATTAGAAACTCGCAAAGCAAAGTTCTTTGACATCGATTGCTATTGGATTGGCAACTAAGTAATTGCCGATTTCAGTTATAGATGTCTCTCACTCCCATTTTTATGATATCCGTAAATGTTATATTATAAAATTATTATTATTATTATGTTATTTTTTATTATCCGTGAATGTTAGCAACTGGACAAATTGAATGCAGCGGTCAAGGAAAAGCGACCAGAATTGGTCCACTCGGCAAAAATTGATGGATATTGGTTGGGAATCGATGTTACACCCACCATATAGCCCTGATCTCGCGCCATCGGATTACCACTTATTTCGATCCCTGGACAACTCCCTTTGTGGTAAAACTATAATGACGATGACGCTGTAAAATCTCACTTAACTCAGTTTTTGACCGAAAAGAATCAGACTTTCTACGAGCTTGGAATTTTCAAGTTGTCAGAGAGATGGCAAAAGGTCATCGAACAAAATGGAAAATACATTACAGATTAAACTTCATTCCAAGTAAAACAAAATTTTTTATTTCATTGAACAAATCGGCAATTATTTAGTTGCCAACCCAATATTTCAACATTCTTACCTTTTGTATGTATTAATAAAATTCAGAAATTTTTATGGATTAGCGTAGAAATTAAATTCGAAATAATTGCGGCGGTCAAAGTTAATCTGCTGCGGCGCACGGTCGACTGGAAACCCGTTTTTCGTAACCAGAATCAAATTTTTGGAGATTTACTTTGCGAAAAAATTGTTGCCTCGATAAATCGATACCTCTTCCACGCTTCAGGATCCAAAGTATTGGCCATTTTAAATAATTATGCGTGCGTGCAGACGTCTGAAGACAACGTTTAGAAATTCAAAGCTAAACCAATTGTTCTGACAACTTATTATGCTTAGCATGAACTAACAGGTTTAAATGAATGTTTTCATTAACTCTGACATCATTCTAAAGACAACATTTAGAAATGCAAGGATAAACTAATTATTTTAACAACTTATCGCAGAGCACGAACTAAAAGAATTAAATGAACGTTCTCGTTAGTTCACAAAATACAATTTGGTTAAGCCTATGTAAATTATAGCATTAATATGATCGACCAACTCGATGACTTTATTTTCGGTTTTAGATATTGAACTGTGATCTTTGTTTTTGTACTATTTAATTTGTGCAAGTGGTCCGTACTTTCACCGTTTCATAATGTCCATATGACACTGTTGAAGTAAGAAAGTTGATCTGTTTTTCAGCACATGTTCCCGGTGAGCTGAAGCGATTTCATCAAATATGGTGAAAATCGAATAGAAAATCGCAATGACTGCTTGCAACTTTAATCGCGGTACACGCGAAAGTAATTTGATATTTCGCTCTTTCACCAGAAAAGTAAATAAACCTGCTTAAATTCTAACTTTTCTAATGATTATCGATGGGAGGAAGTCTTGTTACAGTGTGCAGACAGATTTCAACTTGTTGATTTCAGCTTGTGTGCTCAGTTAAAAGACATTTAACTCTTTGCACTCCGCTGTCCCCTCTCGTGGGACATCGTAATTCTAGCATATCACTCGGATGTCCCCTCTCGTGGGACATTCAAGTTTATTAGTGATTACGGGGAATTCAGTTATTTCAGCGCAACTTTTTCAGACATGTGTGTTTCCCTGAAGTTTTCTCTTGAAATGGCAAATCAAAATATAGTAAAATTACTAAGATATATACAAGAAATGTCAGCGGGTTTTGACGAGAACGTGAGAGGCGTGCTCACGACGGTCCGAGCACTTCAAAGGCGCCACTTGAAAAGAGCGATAAGGCAAGTTTGTAGAAGAAAGATCGGTATCCGAACATAGCACGCACTGTATAGTGAGATTTATAATCATAAAATCTGGAGGAAAAGATTTTCAAAGCTAAACTCAGTCTGGTTTGAAGCGTCGAGCGGTATAGATAGATCTAACGAGTGAGAAAATCGGAAAAGTGATTCTTCTCTTGGTAAATAAATTGTTTGGTAAAAGTTTTTTTGGTAAATATCATCTTGTGAGTTAGTAATAACGATTAGAAATTTTCAACCTATGTATTTATTCATATTTTTTATTGGAACAATGGCAAAACGTTCAAACACGAATGAGTCTCACGACACAAGTGGTAGCGAAGATGAGCTCCAGATAGACGTTTATACAGATATGTTAGAAAGACTAACTGTAGAAGGTTTTCTTCTACAGTTAGTCTATCATTTTGATAGCAGCAATAGTGATATCGTCCAAGCAACAAGGCGACGAGAGAAAGAGTTCGCATAGATAGCGATTACAACAGCAAAACAAAATTATAAAACAAACAATAATAAAATTATAAAAAATAAAATATTGATTTTCTCGCAAATTTCTCGATTTCAGCCAAATTCATATAAGTCCAATATCATCATAATATGTTAGTTAGTTCCAAAAGCATACTAAATAATACGTGGGTCGGTAAATGCCCGTTTCTGTCGGAAAGTGGCGCTGAGTAGCTGGTAGCCAACGTCCAGAATGGTTCAGAGTGCTAAGGGTTTAAAACCTTATAACGTTATCTGAAAATATAATGTTATCTGAAAGCCTTCAGATTCGTTCTACGTGGAAATCACTCGTACAAAATAGCCTTTTTTCCAGTCAAAGCAGAAAGAATCGTCGCAATTTTCAAATTTTTCGTGTTCGGCGTTTCAAAATCTACAAGAATCACGTCTACTAATCCTCGAAAAACAAAACGAAGTTAAAACTTACACAGCGTAATTGAAAGAAATCTGAAATACCAAAGGTTCAAAATATCTGCTCGAAACGGTCCTCTCTCAATCGATTCGATCCCGAAGTTCGTCGTTCCGGAGAGAAATTTCCCTGATCGTCTCTAATTGCCGTCGAAATCCGCCATAAAAGCTTAGTATCGTGAATCTGTTCGACGCAAAAACGCGAAATGAGGGCAGAACAATAACTACAAATGCCGCGCTGAGAGAACCAAGGTTCTGCAAACGTGCCAAAAATTCTTCCGCCCTGATCGACGGAAGAAGCGTGACGCAATCGTCGACGCAGATGGTTCACAAAGAATTTTCAAGTGCAACCGCGAGACGAATGTTTTATCGTCGATTTACGAACGAAGGTCTCGATCGAGGCGATCGTTCGTATTCGATTCCCATACATCGATCGCTCGGGCAACGACGCAGGTCGCATAAAGATGGGAAAATTTGCGGCCGTTTGGCGAAACGTTGTACAGTTCGAACCGTTCCGGAAGACCAGATTAAACTGATCCATCGATATATTCGAACAGATCCCTTATTTGGCCCGTGATTCTTTATTCATCACATATATAAACGTGTCTGCGTACTATTCTTTTTTTTATTACCTATCTCCTTTTAGCACGCGTTTCCTACCTCCCTCGATAATTATGTGACTGACGCGTTTTTTTCCTCTCTTAATAAATTCGGTACGAATTAGTTACCGAGCTAGCTAATTAATTATAAGTTATTATATACATAATATATAATTATACATATATATATTATATATTATTTAAGTAGTTATATTATATACAATATATAATTATATTGTATTATATATAATATATGATTTGATTAATTATATTATGTATAATATATAATTATATTATATAATATAATTAATTAAATAATACATATAATTTATATTATTGTATAAATTATAAATAATCGCAGCTAATTAATAATTACAGCTTTATTTAATATTTTACTTCAATTCACTCTACTTTATTATTTCTCTATTTCGCTCCGACTTTTGACCAGTGTTACATGAAATAAGATTTTGCTAAACTACTTTAATTAATAATATTCTAAAAAATTACCAAACAACAAATGTACATCGGATTGTGTTTTTGTTACAAAAACGTAAGATATCAAGTCTACAGAAAGACTTCAAAAAATTGAAGAAATTTTCTACATTTAAAATGTATCCGCTGCATTTGAAAGGTATTTCGAATAAACGTACGAGTCGGTGATATCAAATTGAAATAAAACGACGCTTTTCTCGAGCAGAAAACACATTTCGTTCGCACAACTGCATTACGCAATTCCGTCGACGCATCATTTCACCGGAATCAAACATTATTTACAGAATTATGCTCGGTTACAAATTTTGTCTCGACACGCCTCTATCTCGCCTTTCCTAACATCGGAAAACATCGTAGCTGAGTCTCCATGAGAAAATTCGATGCCAACGGTAGGCCTTGACCGTGGACCGGGGCACACGGGTGCGGAAAGAACCATTCCCGTTTAACGGCGATTAACCTACGCGCCGCCGTTGAACCGTTCGAATCTGAATAACGCTGTAAAATCGTCGCTGCTTCGGCCGTTTCTTCGCTTCCCTTTTTTTCCTGCCGTGCCGTTGCATTTTTCAGTCGTTGATAATCGTGTCCAGTAACGGTACCAGGTATCGGTCTTTTAAGTCCTCGGTTTGCATGCGGCGACGTGAACGGCGGCGGCGGCGTCGGCCACGGGGTCGACCATCGTGTCAGAAGACATTGTACACGGTACACGCATGCATATTGGATTGGCAACTAAATAATTGCCGATTTGTTCAATGAAATAAAAATTTTTGTTTTACTTGGAACGAAGTTTAATCTGTAATGTATTTTCCATTTTGTTCGATGACCTTTTGCCATCTCTCTGACAACTTGAAAATTCCACGCTCGTAGAAAGTCTGATCCTTTTCGGCCGAAAACTGAGTTAAGTGAGATTTTACAGCGTCATCGTCATCAAAAGTATTAGCACGATCGAAATAAGTGGTAATCCGATGACGCGAGATCAGGGCTATATGGTGGGTGTAACATCAATTCCCAACCAATATCCATCAATTTTTGCCGAATGGACAAAGACGTGCGCGGCCTAGCATTGTCCTGCT